AAGCATAATCTGTCCAAACCAAGACAAAAAGTCATTTGGTTTAACAGCTTGTCCATTGTAATATCACTATTTAAACATCCCCATGGAAAAAAAAGGAGATGGGGAATCACCATTATTTGCTCTCTAAAAATAAAGTGATGAAAATTCAAACAGTTAAGTAATACCTGCTCAGGTCATAGCCCTTCCAGTTCACAGCCATTCCTAATAAAATTAACTATCTTGTGTAGTATCACTGGTAGCAAATTAATATTTATGGTTTAGCAGGCAGTATAGAGCTAACAATTGTTTATGGTGCAAGAGAGAGAAAATACAGTGAAAGAAATCTAGTTTTCCTTAACAGTAGTTCATATGGAAAAACACAATTTAAAGTAAAACTCTTCAAGCAGAATGGAAACATATTCATTAGGAAAGTCTGCATAACATTTGGGAGGATTCATTAATTTCCTTTCAGCTTTAAAGGCAATATATCCTTCCACTTTTTCCTGTGGGAGTGAAGCAGTACCCACAGCAGAGGAAAAAGAAATCTATAGATTGCTCAGCCTGCTTGGACGTGCAGAGGTTCATGGGATGATGTGAGATGTGCTGAGGGTGCTGAAGGATGCCCTGGGAAGGCTTTTGGACAGTCCCAGAGCAGTCCTGTCACCCATCAGGTGAGTGACAGCTGGAGATGTGGGCAAGAAGGCGGGTGCAGAATGGATGCAGGATGCCCAGAGCCCGAGAGACCAGCAGCCAACCCACACAGGGGCGTCTCCCAGGGATCTGTCTGGGGACCAACAGTGGGAATTGCCTTCATAATGCAGGATATGAGAGAACAAAGTGCACTCCCAGCAGAATTGTGGGTGTCACCAAATTGAGAAGCATCAGTGGATATGTGGGGGACAGGGCTGCTGTCCTGAGGGATTGGACACACTGCAGACATGGCTCGATAGGAAATCACTGAGGTTTAGCAAAGGCCTTACCAATGAAAGATCCTGACACACTGGGATGGGTCCAGTTGAGACCACCAGGATGGGAGGGGATGAGGGATATGGAATATGTGAAAGGCATCAAGAGGCAGGTTTGCTCAGCATTACGAAGAGGGCACTAAGGAGATACGTTATTGCTCTCTGCAACTTCCTGCACTCTGGGAGATGCAGACTGACAGGCAAAGAAAACTTGTTGGAACATGGAAATCCTGATTAGATATTAGGAGAAAACTATTTGGTTTTATGATGAGGGTGGTCAAATATGCCCAAAAAGGGCACAGAATCTCCATCAGTGAAGTTGTCCAAGACTGTGATTCTGTGTGACTCAACTGGACTATCCCTGAACATCCTGGTCTGAAGAGAACAACTGTGACAAATTGGTTAGACAACTTAACATCCAAAGGTCCTTCTCAAACTAAATTGTTTTCTGATTCTGCAAGAGCAAAGGATCTTAACAAAAAGAGAAAAAACCTCGTGAATCCATGATACTGATCTGTCATTTGGTTTCTTTTTTTTTATTTTTTCTTTTCCTCCATGTCAGTATTGTTATACTAAACATTAGTCTGAGCCTTTATTATTACATAAAACATTCCTTTATTTAAATGTAATGAAAAGCTCATTATGACTTCCCAGCTACCAGTGCAAACAGTGTACTTAGCCAAATGGTAATTGTATCGGTCTTCCTTCTATTCCAATACTGCTCTGAAAGTTGTGTCCCTCAAATGAGTAATTACCTACAGAATAATTAAATGTTGCTGATATGGTCTACTCATCCCACTTGTACACAGAAACAGCAAAGTCTGTCTTCCCTGAAATCTATCTCCGTCATGTTGGATAAGCTTACTGCCCATCACACGGCTGGCATCGATCCCCACTCAATTACAGATGAACATAGCACCATATTAAAAGACAAATAAGGTTTAATTTTAATCACAGACAGCCTGTAAGTCCATGTTCCATTATAGATTAAAAGAACCAATTATTTTTAAAAGTAAAGATTTAATGAAAGGCCTTACTAATATATAGACACATTGCTCCCTCTGCATTCTAAGTCAGACTCTGCAGTAACGTTTGAAATTGCTGCAAGCAATCCAAGCAAGGCATGAGGATGCAACTTGGAGAAGAATGGTTTTTCTTCAGATACAAATACACTTTCTCAATAGGGTTTCTTTTGCAAAATTTCTCTTTCAAAAGCTTAAAATGACCATTTATAGTCAACAAATTAACTCTGCGGCCAGAGTTTTATTGTTACTAAGACAGAGTAAATGCAAAATAATTGCATTGAGGCAGGCAGAAATTCCACACTAATGACACTGAATGCTGCTGAAATCACTTTATCCCAGACTCAGAAAGGTAGTTAGGAACCTAATTCTCATCTGAATTCAATGGGAGTTAGACACCTACACATCTCTGAATCCAGACATTACAGCCTTCCATCTGTAACAACAGGAGCTGGCTTGCATAATTAACTCCAGAATCAAGGGCATCACAATCCTTATTTTCTTACTATTCATTCTTTAGTACTAGTTTCCAATCCTCATTGTTTATTGAGGTAGTATAATGTTTGTGAGACTGTGAACTAATAAAATTCTAGCTCTGTAATGTTGTTGATATTAGTACTGAGAATGCAAAGACAAAAATGTACATTTTAGATGTAAATCTACCAACAGGGTAATCTGAGAATGCTGTTAATAGTGCTATGAATGTAATTCCGCTTGTACAGAGAAAGCACAAGAGGTTATATACATATATATGTGTATACATATAAAGTTAACATCCCAATTTTTAAAGCTGTTTTTTATATAATGCCACACTTTTTTAGGAAGTTCACATCTACCGTTGAACCAGAAATGTTTTAATGCATGGTAAAGTCGCCTCATTTTTTTAAATTTGGACACACCTTCTTTAGAAGGTAAAAAAAGTTAAAGCAATATTTACCAACAGACATTGGTATATCAATCTCACAATTACCATTCACAGTTAAAAACAAAAACCCCAAAACAAACCAGGACTCCCTTGACTAGAAAGAAGCTGTATTTTATCTGCCCCTCTAACCTTTGAGGAAAAGAGTACCAAATAAAACATCACTCAGGGTTGTAGAATGAGGGTGCAGAAAAGAAATGTAAGCATTTCTGATATATTTCAAGGAGTTCATATCAAAAAGTCACTTAGAATACTTCTGATGGTGAACAAAAGAGTTGGGAAACCTTCTCATCTACTTATATCCAGCCTTTGCTGTTTTCATCCTGCAAAATTCTTTTTGGTTTTGTCCTCACTGATCCCTGAAGGAAAAAAAAAAATCTGCAGTTTCTCTCCCCTCCTTAGATATTCACAAAGAGAATAGGGGAGAGCAGCAAGCAGGTGCTCCAATGGAAACAGCTCCTCACCAGGCAGGTGCACTGCAAGGACTCAGCTCAGAAAACAGCAGCTGTGCTCTGGGAGCTCTCCCACTCTCCTTATTCACCCTTATATACACACAATTAACAGAAATGAGAAACTCCAATTATCAGGTCTATAGATAACCAGAACTGTGCAAAACTGAATCCCTACTTTCAGGCTGGAATCCTATTCTTTTGCATTTTTAATGTTCTTTTGACTAGAACAAATTCCAGTTTTTAGATGCACCACCAAATTCATCCAACATGTTCTGTGAAATATCTTAAAAGACACATGAAATAAAGACTTTTTAAAAATCTCTGCAGAGAAAACCTATAAAAACAAGATAAAGCAAGGTACACACTGAAACTTGTGTGTTAGCATATATTTCATTAGTACCATGAGGGTATAACAGCTCTTCAACAGAAGTAACAAGTATCACAAAAATAATTAGAATATGCAAAGGTACAGATTGTTCTCTAGCTGATCTAATACCAGGTCAAGAGAAAGATTACTGGTCCAACTATGATTTTAAATCAGCACTGTTATTTTCCCATATTGGCACCGAATATATTGCACATTAAATACATTATCAATGAATTCTGTAAACTTTCTAATTTCACTGTTATCTCTTCCTAATTCTGTCAGACTTCTATAAAGAAGAAACACATTTTATACACAAGAAAAATTAGAGAATATTTCCAGGGTTTTCAAAAACCTCTTATGTGAGCTTACTACACATTCAGAAGTAGAGCCTTGTGTGCTGGAAATGAAGCTGATGGCTCACACTGAAAATGTCACCTGCTATTTATTGTCATGTTTTCTTTTTCAGATTCAAAGGCCTCACCATTATGTTGCAGCAGAAAACTATTTATGACCATATTGTTTGCTAAATCCTCATATGTATCTCTTCTCTGTAAGCAAAGCACTCTCCAAAATCTGCACACTGGGTTCTAGATTAAACTCTTATAAAATGCACCTTTATAGGGGCCTCTGAGTACCTTTCATGTGCTGGTTTTAGCTGGAGATGATCTAAGGTATTTTGCAAAAGCATTAGTCCTCCTCCAGAGTATTTGCAGCAGTGACAAATAAGATTTTCTGTTATTAGCTATCACAAAATCTGGCACAGCATTATGTGCAGAGTAATAAATGTCTTCATTCTCTCTGTGGCACACAGCACTGAGACATTTACATGAGATTGCTGTTGTCACAGACAGTAATTAAGTGCTTGATTCTGCCATGGCCTTTCAAAAGGTCTTGGGCTCCTCAAATTCATGCTATGGTACATCATATATATTGCTCTGGGAAAATTTTACAAGCATGGGGCTGTAAAATGCAGAGATATGCATATATGAGCTTTTTACTGAACAATACCTCAGTATAAAAAACAGTGCACTCAAAGTCTGAAATATTTAATAAAAATAGCCAGTTTTTATAAGCATAATTTTAAAATTAACTGAGTAATTTTGGCTGCATAATCATACCCCTGAAGGGATGCAATAAAATATAAATTTAATCAAATACATTTTTAGAACACGCTTCAAGCTAGGGCATGTACAATTTTGATCCAAATATCTAGTCATGAGTATAATATCAGACCTTTAATTACAATTCCTATTATAATTGTTCTATTGAAGAAAATGTAGCCAGTGCCCTTACCTGCAATTATGCACACACAGTCTGTGGAAAGAGTAGATAAAGACTCTCCTGTGAACCATTCCTTGCTGAGCTAATTCACCCAACTGGTTTAATTTCATTTGCCCTCAGTCTGCCATTGCAGTGATTACATCTAAATGAAACGACAAGGAAACACCAAAATGAAAAAAAAAAAAAAAGTCATTAGATTTATTGGGCAAATTTTCAATTTGATTTCTATTTTTGAACAATCAGGAAGTGTGGGTCACAGAAAGCATGTTGCAAGAAAAGCATTTGGTACTTTCTGATGGTAATGTGTATGAATATCTCATCTAGTGGCTAAAATGTGTGGCCTCCCTGAGACTTGTTATGGTGCACACCTGGTGTTCTGTGAGAGGTGCCCTGTAATTTACTCCTAATATATTGAGATTTATAAACCCATTAAGAAATGGCTTTTTGGGAATATCTAGTGTTAACATTGCATATTCTTCTTCAAAGTTAAATACTCTTAGGCCACAGTTTTAAAAGGTTTCTGTAGCACAGTGATCTGAGGGAATACCCAAATACTTATTATAAATATCTATATGCTAATACATAATTTCCAATATTATAATATATTTATTTCAATGTAGCTTCTGCAATGCACGTGGAGCTTTGGAAACTGCACTGCTGGCTGTGTTAGCAATGTCCAAAGGATGGCAAAGCTTTGCACAGGAGGGATGTGTGGATTCAACAATCCTGCGTGTGAGACCCCACTCAAATGAAGGACCTAACCCTGGAGATAACTCAGTCTCGTATACTGTGTGAGTTATGGAGTAGCAGGATTACATCTCCACACAGTGCACCATTTGCCAAAATCTGATCCTATAAACACACTGAAATTATTCCAGAAAGAAAGTAGGCACAGGCTTTTCTCAAATGGCCCAGGACTCCCCTCCACCCATATAATCCACAATATAGTTGGTACTTCTCTGGAAAATATCAACTCCCTGTCACATTTTACAGTTGCTTCATCTTGCCCAAATTATTGTTGACAATATTGTTTTTATTGTTGTACAATAGAATTCAACCCAGTAAATGGTCAAAAATCTTATTCATGTGAATTCCAAGCTACACAGTGCAATGTGTGGATATAATGTCAATTCTTTTGAACATAAGCCATACATTGAATTTCACATGGATTTTTCTCCTCCCTTAAAATCTGCCTTGACCTTGCAAAGTGTGAAGTTGTTAGCTTAGTCTCCTGGGGAAATCACAGTGATAAATGCCAGGCTATTAAAAAGTACCATGCAATAAATTTCAATCCAAAGACCACAAATAAACAAACAAAACCCTGTATGACTTCCCAATAAAGCCCAAACAAACTATTCCATCAATTAGCCCAAAAAGCCCACTCAGAGAGGGCCTGGGGCGGTGATTGTACCATGTATCAATAATTAGATTAATTCATTCAACTGATCGGATACATAAGCATGAAATAAAGAAAAAAATGGAAAAATACAATAAGTACACACAACCACATTGGCCTCTCAGGCAAAACAGTGTCATGTAAGGATCTTTTTTTCCATCATGTGACTCATTATGCAGTGCTAATTACATCATCTCCCCATCCTGCTGTCTCTAGACACTCAATTGCTATGGATTGGTTGCTTTCCCTGAGGCTGCTGGTACATTTATAATAAGCATGGACTAACCTCAAAGTAATGAATCCCACCTCCTTGATTAATTTATCTTAAACAGAAAATGTTAGAGAAAACCCCAAATATCTTTTTCTTTAGGAAAAAAAAAAATAAATCAAAGATGTTCAGCTTTGCTTCTGAAAAAAATGTTTTGCAATTGGAAATCAGCTTGATCATGCTGATGTCTGGCTAACACTCCTTTATATTCTTTATATAGGGATTTAAGAAGTACAGCACCTTTTATACAAGTCCATTTAAATGATCGGGGCAACAAGCCTTCTGATTTCTGAATTAAACTTTAATATGTGACTACTGCTGATAATTCCATGAATTATATGTAAACTTTGATCATACATATTTTAGTGGACAGTGCCAGAATTTAGTCTTGTTCTGTCATTGTTCTGTAACTTCAGGTTTTGGAAGAGAAATTAAAATACTTGCTCTTTTTTCCAAATACTTGCCAAAGCCAAGGCAACCATTGTAAAATTATAGAAAATGGAATTTTTCCAGACCTTCTACAAGCACATCCAGCATAGTGACTTTAATGAAGACATGCTAATTGTCAAAGTTCTGTAGAATACCTCCCTGACCTCTTGCTTGCATTGGTGCTTCACACAGCCTTAATACCAAAAATACATCCTGGATCATTCCCCTCTCCACCTCAAGACAGAAAATTGCTTCCTTAAGGAATGGATGTCACAAAAAGATTTTCTGCATTAAAATTGGTCTCCATTTTGTAATAACATGAGACAAATCCACAGTCAGTTATGGGCACAGCAGTTTATCCATGATTACCACAAAGAAAGCTCAGATAAACAAGATCTTCAGGGTTTGAGTAGAAAAACACAACACAGCAGCCTACTCAGAAATGTTGAGGCTCCTTTTTATGAATGCAATAGCTTCATTTAAATAAAATCAGGTATAAGCAGTAGCTGCAGAGGTGGAGGAAGCTCAGAGTTATTAACATTTCTGAATGTTACCAGTGTTAACAAATTCAAGTATTTATGAGGAAGAATACAGGGGGAAATGTCTGCTTGTGTGCCTTTCATGACACACAGAGAATAGATCCATAGGATGCAAGAGAATCGTAGAAATTCAAGGATGTCAGTGCCTGACAATACAAAAACAAGGGAGCACGAAAAACCAGTCACATCAGATAATAAACATATTCACCTCTCTCAGGCTTAGAGTTATTTTTCTATTAAAAGAGTGGAAAATAACTGTACTCCTTAGATAAGCTGAAGGCTTGGTCATATCCCCTGTAAAATTTGTATACTCAAAAATATTTCACACCCACTCTTACCTCTTCCTTTTTTCTTTTTTGGCTGTTCCTGCTTTTATTCATTGTTGATAAAAGAAAAGGCTAGCAGTTTATCTGCAGCAAGAATTTACAGCTGTAGCAAGACTTCTAGGTTACCAGCTTGCCAGGCTGACACAGAAAACTTCGGAATACCAAAGGCATGGAATCCAGAAATTGCCACATTTAAAAATTAAAAAAAAAAAAAATCAAGGGAAAAAAAAACAAAACAAAAGCAAAAAAAAAAAAAATAGGAAGTGGAGCACAATTATCATGCCAACTCCTTTAGGTACCAGACTTCAACTTTGCAGGGGTAGGAGCTCCACTCTATTTTGAAACTTTCACAATACACTGAAAATTTATGAAGATATAATGGGAGAGAAAGAGGGAAGCTGACAGAGTGCAAAATATCTTTACAGTTTACAATAGCTTCACTTGGGAAACCTGTCAGTCTGTGGTCCACATTCAACATTAGATGATCAATATGGATTTTGGAAAGGGAGGGAAATCCATTATCTTTAACATTCAGATCCCTGGGTCCCAAAATTTCAAACATTTCAAGTCACTGCAATCTGAAAGATTTCAAGGGCCAGAGCAGAAAAGAAACTCCAGATCTACGCAAAGGATTAAGAGTGCTACCAACAGCATCAAATATATTCTGGGTCCAGATATTAAATATGTAAAAGATGGATACCCCAGGATGAGTTTTGCACTATCTCAGTCCTTTATTTAGGTAGTTTTAACCATTCATGGAAAACAGAAATTTAATAATGAAGACTTCTTATCTCCATGATGGAGCCATCAAAGATTAAACAATTTTTATAAGGCTAAGTATCACAAATTCCATCTAAAAATGTTCACTTTTAATACTCCAAGTGTTTAACCTCTCCAGCCATTTATTGAGTGGAACCATATACTCATGAACTCCAGATATTTTAAAATCCAGAAACTAATGTTGATCAAAGCAAAGCTCTAGATCAAAAGAGAACTTATGTGCCTGTGGTTTTCAGCAGGATAAATGCTGAAAGGTAAACATGGCTGTTCAGAAATTGTTATTATATAAATTCAAAATTGATCTCCACAGAAGGACATTTAGAACACAACAATGCTAATAATGCAAAGAACTGAATAAAAATCCATAATCACCATAAAACTTCAGCTTAAACTGACTTGGTGGTGAGCTTCAGTGGCACTCTGAAAGGATAAGTTGCAAATGACTCAAACCAATGGGCAAGAAAATTCCTAAGAAATGCGATTTTTTTCTCTCATCTCTGTCCAGTAACAAGGAGGTGATTCAAATTATTCAGCAGATGGCTCAGATGTAAGAACAGCTTGGTAGAAGCAGGACAAGGCTAATTAGAGTATTATGCCCGTGCCTCTTTATTTTCTACCTCATTCCTTCTTCCCTCCCAGAGAGTGAATCCAGCCTCTCCCTTTCTCTGTCCAACATCACCTGAAATCTCAGCAATGCTCTTGTGCAGCAGCACAGCAGAGAAGGGCAGAGCAAGCAGGAGGTTTGTGCATTCCCCTCGGGGCAGGGGTGCTGCTTTTGCAGCAGCTGACAGGGAAGCTGCTGCGTGCTGCACTCACAGCTGCTCGGGTTAAAAGCACCTGTAAATATCTGTAAATCCCTGCCAGTGCTCATGCAGATTGGTGACCACACTCCTGTGCATTGCTACCTGAGCTAGAGCCATAAGGAGGCCATAGATTTCACACACCCAGTAAGATGTCAAGAGGATATTTGCACTGGAATGGATAAGATTATTGACATTCAGAAGGCTGCACATCTGTACCAGAGAACGGGAAAACCATTTTGTCTTGTGATCTAAGTCAAGCTCACAAAGCAATAAATACTATCCTATATTGAGCTTTATTTTTCAAGTTATCAGAGAAATAAAAACATTGTATCTGCCCATGTGAATGAGTAACTTCTCTATTTTACAAATGGACCATATAGTTACACATGGCAGGAATTACTGTCCATCTAATACAGAAATATAAATAATATGAATCCTGAGACCATCAATTAATTTATTTCTTTGCTCATACAATTTCATGTGTGATGGTTCATTTTCTTTCTTATGTTAACTGTATCAAGGAAAGGGATGGGGATCCTTTCTACAAATCCTTTATATTTAAGATAATCTAAATATGTATTAATCTAAATATGTATTTAAA